CTGATAACCAAAGGAACACTTGAAGAGAAGATCATGGGGTGAGTAATCGTGTTCATCTCATTTCCCTTCCTTCCTTCCTTCCCTATCCTTTTTCGTTTATTAACATTTGTTTTAAAAATTGCTGAATTTCTTAAACGTCAATCCCATCATGCATCTCGCTGAACATYGCATGACGTCATTAGGGGAAAGAATGATCTCTATTTATGCCTTCTTTTGGGGAGAGGAGGGGAGTGTTAAAAACTGTTATTCAGATGTTTTTTTATTGCAATAAGTTGAATGTGAATGACAATAATTACCCCTCGATAACAGAAGGCGTTATGGGGAATGTGAAATGGAGAATCCATAGAAATAGTTCAACGTTTCTTTACTCTTTAACATTATTTCCCTTGTCATATCACAGATTACAAAAGTTCAAGCTCACCATTGCAAACACAGTCATCTCCCAAGACAACTCGAGCCTGCAAACCATGGACACGGGTCAAATTTTAGACCTCTTCACCGTGGACACGCGCAACAAAGACGAAGGAAAGAAACGCGAAGCCGAGGCAGGAAAGGGGAAGTCATCTCTCAAATCCATCCTAGAGAATATGGGCAACTTATGGGATGAAGAGCAGTACGAAACAGAATACAACTTAGATAATTTTATCGAGACTCTAAAGTGAACAGCAGAAGAACAAAAGATAGTGTAAGGGTAGGGAGGGTGGGGTTGACGTTTCAKTTCCTCAGTATGATTACTTTACTGGGATGTCAGACGTCCTAAAAGTCTATTTGGGTTCGTTTTCATGAGATATACATGTTTATTCGGCATAGAATATTTAGTATTTTCTCACAGATTAGTGACCCAGATTACTCGATTCAACGGTGAGGTCACGTGAATAAAATCTACAAGTTTGCAGTGACGTCATTTTCGCGAGCAAAGCATGACGGGAAATATTGTCCTCGCATCTGTTTCATATCCATTGAAATGMTTCATATATATGAGAAAGTGTGGGAGGATTGCTTCTTCAATCATGCTTTGCTGCACGAAATGGTGTCGTAGAAAAATTTACATGAAGTAAACAGACCGTGTACGTAAGGATGCAAATTTAGGATATTTTGAAAACAAAGCAATTAGTCTACTCAGTCACGGTTTTGACCCACGTTCCACCGCGCAAACTCATAGACTCTTACCGCAGACCTAATTTTGTACGATTTTCTACCAGTTATAGCGAGCACAACAAGAAAAATATCTAAAGAGATGTATTTATGAAGATCTGTATTCTTGATTATTGTTAATAAACAAAACAAAAATAGAGTGATTTTCACCTGACTGTGAAATAGTTACTAAACTGAATGACACTAGTTGCCGTCACATGCGTCACAAGGACCACATGCACCCAAGAACCTTTGCGATCGTTTGTTTTGTTTTCAATGATCAGTTGTCGAAAATGGCCGTTTCCMAAGATGTTGGTTCTAAGTACGGAAGCAAAGCGAGGCTTTGGCTAGGTAACAACATTTTCTCGCCGGTTCACAATAGATAATCTAAAGATGCTGTGCAAGAAATAACGTTACGCTTTGGTAATCATATTTTGGCTGCAAATTACAACAAACTCACATGCTTTAAGTTAAAGTCTCTTTCTGTCTAATTAACAATTAGACCTCGAGGTCGAGTGGACTACGAGTCCGCGAGGCTGAATGGGCTATTAGCTCGTAGTCCACTCGACCTCGAGGTCTAATTGTTTTAGTATAAACATACTAATCGGTCAAATAATGAAAACAAATTGAAATATCCTTAAAATAATTTATGATTTATTTATTTTGATTTTCCGCGAGTGGTCTATCACAAATTAGAYCATTAGTAGAGTAGCCAATCACAGCGCAGTATGAGTGATAGACCATTAGTATGTTTATACTAATGCAATTTAGGCACTGCATCCACACCTTTGAAAAAAAATCACAGTTCAGTCTATTATAAAAATCGGTATTCACGGCTTAAAGTTATTCTCTTCGTCATTTGATCACGGTTAACGATTCTCCCATGGGACCGTCCATGTTTTAGGGGGCTCCATAATCCCATGGAGTAGCATGGTTTCGTAAACGTAAATAACAATAGATATTTGCAAACTTGTTAAGAAAYGGACCCATAGTTATTTCCCTACCCTCGACCCTACTTTGGTAGACTTTGGTACACTTTTCAGCCTTTCATTTGGAAAATTACATGGGCTTCCTGTTGTAAGAAAAATGCCTAAGGAGTTGGGTTCCCTGTGTTCTCAAACATTGTCCGCCATCTTTGATTTCATATGGTAGTTGTTGATTACTAGTATTTTAACCATGTTCATTACTACTATATTTTGATCGGATTTGTTGTATATACAGTCAAAAAGAAGAATATGTCCAGAAAAGATATTTTAGATAGCGAAGAAGGCAGAAACAGAGCAAGACTTCGCGACAGCAAACAGGATAGAGAGGATACTAACTTAACTTAAGCTTACTCTTTAACAAGAAAGACGAAAATGTTCATCTGAATCGAAACGATGGAGACCACCCTCCCCTTTGAAAACGAGAGCGAACGATTGTACCTAATCCGTCATTTGTGGATTAATGGTGGAGCAGAAGAGAAGAGATACGGTCTGAAGTCAGGAAAATGGTCCAAAAAAGAAGAGAAAATCCTCAAAGAAAATCTCGAAAGATACTTAAAATGTCACAACATTGAAGACCCAAGGAAGCTTATCTTTGCCTGTCATCAGGCAGCTGAAAAAAGAAAGTGGAAAGAGTTTGTCAAAGTAACCGGATTGTATAGAGAACTTGCAAAAGGCTTAAACAGGAGTTTGTTCAATGTTTATAAAAAAGCCGTTCGCACATTTGATAAAAACAACTACGCTGGGAAATACTCAGAAGCCGAAGATAAAGAGTTGTTAAAACTTGTAGCATTGCATGGGAGAAAGTGGACCAGAATAGGAGGAATTATGGATCGAAGTAACGTATCTGTGGTACGCAGATATGAATATATTAAAGACAAGCCCAACCATGGTCCTTGGAGTGAAGGAGAGACAAAACTTCTCAAGCAAGCTGTGAGAAAGCTAACTAAAACCAAACAGGGGGATGAAGTTTATGAGGGAATTTGCTGGACTTCAGTGGCATCTATCGTTAAAACAAGAAATAGTAGTATGTGCAGAGAAAAGTGGCTTGAATGTCTTTGTTGGAAAGACTGTAGTCTTAACAATGTTGTCTCTAAGAAATGGAGTTCCAAAAACGATGTTGATTTGATTACCAGAATCTATGAAAGCAAAGCTACTGATGAGACAGACATCGACTGGGCATCTTTATGTGAAGAGTTTGAGATGGCACGGTCACCCGCTTGGTTAACAAGGAAGTTTACGACAGTCAAGAGAAAATACTGCCAGATTGTTGACTTACAAAACACAGATTTTGACGAACTTATTGACTATTTGTATAATGTTGTAGCCAC